CCAGACACTCAGGCACCGAGCCTAGGCACGCAAAGCAAACTGGCGTCCTGCGAGGGTATTCAGGACATCTAGGCACCCTAATCAAACACCTAGACACCTAAGCGCCCAGCCCATGTGTCTAGGCTTGGTGCCCAAACAACCACAATGGCCTCTAAGGTCTCCTCTCTACCACCCTAGGAGTTTTATGTGGATGGTTCCTCAACCAGTGAAGGAGGAGGAGTAGGCCTAATCCTGATCAGCCTCGATGACACTCCTATCAAGTATGATGTGAAGCTCCATTTCACAACCTCCAACAATGAGGCAGAATATGAAGTGCTCTTATATCACCTAAGGTTGGGGATCGAAATGGAAACCCAACACCTCATTACTTATAGAGATTCTCAATTGATAGTCAATCAAGAGAAGGGTGAGTTTTAAGCAAAAGGAGCCAAAATGCAGGAGTACCTCGCTATGGTGCGAGCCTTACTTACTAAGCTCCACCACTTCCAGATCTGTCACATCCCGAGGGAAGACAACGTGGCAGCAGACGCTCTGGCTAGGCTCGCCTCATCCTCGAAAATCCCACCAGGACTAGTATTCATTGGTCACCAGTTCGAACCAAGCAGGCTAGACGTGGAAGTCACAAATGTTAATTGTACATCTGCTGAATCAAACTAGATGACCTTGATAAGGGCATACCTCTAGGAGGGCTTGTTGCAAGAAGGCCCTCTGAAAACCAAGAAACTCAGGATGAGAGCCTCCAAATTTAACATCTTATAAGACATATTGTATAAGAAAGGCTACTCCTTGCTACTACTATAGTGTCTTTCACTAGAAGAAGCTAATTATGCCTTATGAGAGATCCACAAAGGGGGTTTCTGAGAATCAGTTTAGAGGATGCTCTCTCACCCAAGAGGCACTCAGGCAGGGCTACTTCTAGTCTAGCATGGTGAGGAATGCCTAGAAGTTCTCTAGGAAGTGTGACAAGTGTCAACACTTTGTCACTGTGCCCAGATAGCCGCTAGAAGTGCTAATAGTCGTAACTAGTTCATGGACCTTCTCCAAATGGGGCATCAACATCTTGGGCTACCAATCTCTGAGCAGAGAGTAGTGCAAGTTTGTGGTGGTAGCCGTCGACTACTTCACTAAGTGGGCAGAGGCTAAACCCTTAACAAAGATAACAGACGCAAAAGTCAAGGATTTTATCTGGAATAACCTGGTCTGCTGCTTCAAGATACCCCACATCATAGTCAACGACAACGCCAAGCAATTCGACAAACAAGCTCCTGAACTCCTTCTACTCCAACCTCCAAATAAAGCAACCTTATTCCAGCCTAGCACACCTGCAGGCAAACGGATAGACAAAAGTCATGGTCAGAACAGTATTACGCAACTTAAAGACAAGGCTCGAAAGTGCGAAGAGTCTCTGGGTTGATGAACTCCTAGGTGTATTATAGGCCTACCGAACGACGCCAAGAACCCAAACTGAACCCCCTTTTCCCTCACCTTCGGAACTGAGGCAGTCATACATGTGGAGATCAGGGTACATTCTCTAAGGGTCTAACACCATAATCCCGTCACCAATGAGGAAGGACTCCACATCAACCTCAACTTGGTGAAAGAGGCAAGGGAGATGGTTGTGGTCCCTAATGCGGAGTACAAGCGCCGCATAACAAGATATTACAATTTGAGGGTGAAGCCTCACTCCTTCCAACTATGAGACTTGGTCCTTAAAAAAATAATTCTCACCATCCATGAGAAGGAAAACTAGAACCAAACTGAGAAGGACTCTACCTTATAACAAAAGTGGTGAGACCAAACACATACAAGATCTAGAATTCCGAGGGGAAGGTCTTATCTCATCCGTGGAACACTGAGCACCTGAAGAGGTACTACCAATGACACCTTAGGAGAGTAATAGTAAAGTTGGGAAACTTGATTTTATTTCTTTGTACTTTTTTTGAAGTTATTACCCACTATTGCTTGACATAAGCAGTGAATGAATCAAATTTTGTAAACTGATTTCAAAAGTTCGTTGCATTCTATTTCAAAAAGAACATCAGTGAAAAAAAATCACTTTTACAAAAGTAAGGCTACAAATTGCCCTTCTAAAAAAAAAATTGAAAGTCCCCAGCACTCTAACTGCTCTCATGGTCGTCATCGTTCTCCTTATCCTCACTCTCAGCATCACTGTCGATAGAGCCTCCATCACATCATTAGGCGCCTCATATGGCATGATGCCTGAAAGATCAATATCAGGGAAAGCAACAAAAATCATTTCCCGAAGCTCCTCATAACCATCAGTGAAGGAATCTGTAAGGACACTCTCCAAATTACTCTCAGCTTCGACGACCATTTCACGAGCCAACAACAGATCCGCTCCAGCCCGAGAAGCCCTCTCGTGAGCTGCTTTTGCCTTTGCCTCTGCTCTCAAGTAGGCAGCCTCTCTGAACATGGCCCTCTCACAAGTCTCCACAAGTTTAATCTCTCTAAGCGCGTCCCTCTCATAGGTCACTAAAAGCTCAGCCTCACGCTTAGCCACCCTCTCGTGGATGGCCAAAAACTTTACTTCATCACTTGTGTAAGCAGCCTCTCTGAGCACGACTCTCTCATGGGACGCCACAAGCTCAGCTTGGGAATCCCTATCAGTAGCTTCAAGCTTAGCAATCGTCCCCTGAGCAACAAGAAGCTCCTTTTACACAGCCTCATGATTTTGCTTCAGCTGGCCATAAAAAATGGCTCTTGAAAAAAGACATATAGAGGCCGTTGAAACCTGCAAGCACTCTAACTGCTCTCATGGTCGTCCTTCTCCTCTTCCTCACCTTCAGCATTAGTGTCGACAGATCCTCCATCACATCATCAGGTGCCTCATATGGCACGATGCCTAAAAGATCAATATCAGGGAAAGTAACAGAAATCTTTTCCCCAAAGCTCCTCATAACTATCAATGAAGGCATCTGCAAGACTACTCTCCAAATTACTCTCAGCCTTAATGACACTTTCACGAGCCAACAACAGATCAACCTCAGCCCAAGAAGCCATCTTGTGAGCTGTCTTTGCCTCTAGTTTCGCTCTCAAGTAGGCAGCCTCTTTGACGGTGGCCCTCTTGTAGGTCTCCACAATTTAGCCTATCTGAGCATGTCCCTCTCATTAGTCGCCAAAAGCTCAACCTCAAGCTAAGCCACCCTCTCACAGGTCACCAAAAGTTCTGCTTCAGAACTCGTGCAAGCAGTCTCTCTGAGCACGACCTTCTTATGGGACGCCACAAGCTTAGCCTTGGAAGCCCTTTCAGTACCTTCAAGTTCAGCAATCCTCCCCTGAGCAGCAAGAAGCTCCTTTTGCACAGCCTTATGATTCCGTTTCAGCTGGCCATAAAAAACAACTCTGAAAAAAAAGACATATAGAGGTAGTTGAAACCTGAAAGAAGGCAAAAGGAAAAAGAATGTCAAACACCTAAGAAGGACTGGAGAAAGGGAGACAGCAGACCCTTACCTGAGCTAGGCCTTCTAGAAATGTATTGATGATTCCCTCGGTGCCTAGAGCACTAATCTCATTAACATCTTTCAGAAATACAAACCTCCCAAGTCGATCCCTAATGACTCGCACGGTACCCAACATGGAGCCAATCTGAGTAGGTGCTCCTGTAGAAGTTTCCATAGGAGGAGTCGATGAATGGGGGGCAACAGGTGTGGTATACAGGGGAGTATCTGGAGTGGTGGTCACATCTGAAGGAGTTGCAGAGCGAGAAGGCACCAATGAAGGGGTCACTTGAGAAGAGCTCGCCAAAACATTGCTCATCCTCACCACATTAGGAGGAGGAGTGCTCCTAGTGGAATAACGGGACTCAACCATTATTCTATCCACTACAAGAGAGATAAAGTGTCATCTAGATGAAAAATCAAGAAGGAAAGTACAATGGAATCAACGTACCTTTTCTCTTTAAAGAGGAATCGTTGAATCTTGGAGAGGGTGCACTAGCCCTAGCATGGACTATAGGGGAACCTCTAGAGCCATCATCTTTGACCATAAGAGCTCCGATGTCCTTTACAGGATGAGCCCTTACAGCCTGTAACTTCTACTCTTGGTCCTTCGAGAGCACAAAAGAACCTACAAGGGGTATGATGAATACACAATAACAAAAAAGGCGAAGGAAATAGAGTAAGTGTAGGGTGTACCAACTTTCTTAGGAGTACCCCATCATATTGGTACTAAGGCTCTATCAGCCTCTGAAGCCCACTCTTCGCCAACGAACATGAAGCGAGACTTCTAGCTATGACAGTTGGAGCGCAATCTGGTAATCAACTTACCTCCTCTCGTAGTAAAATAGTACCAGCCTTGATTAGGAGCAGAAGTCTCACTAAAAGTGTAAGCTATATAAAACTCGTTAGGATAGGCATCCTCATGATGCACCTTCCTCCACAATGCCATAAAATCCAGCAAAACTCTTCAACCATTGGACACCAACCTCCTTGGTGTCAATGAAAAATAATGCAGAATATGACAAATGGAAGAAAACATTAAGAACCTGAGCCCAACCTCAAACATCTCCTCATAGATGGAAAAGTCTCCAAATGAGTCATCACAAGCAGGCTCACCTATCTCAGCTTGATGGCTCAATACCGTTGGAGGAATGTGGTAAGCAGAGACAATCTGCAGAATGTCAGCATCGGTATTAGGCACACTAGAGATAATACTTACTTTGGATCCATCATCGTCAAGATCTACTTTCCATCGGTGCTTTTTGTTGCAAGAGCGTGAAGAGTTGCCCGTGCCACTACTAGGGAAGCCTTGAGGAATTTGATTTTGAGAAGTTCCACTTGAAGGAGCCATATCATTTCCCACATTACCAGAAGTGTCACCACTAAAAGTGCTTGCCAGCTGCGTCATGCCTACCCCGACCACAGTGCCCAGCACTTGGGCCGTCCTGGCCTCGGCACCCAGCACACGAGAGGCGCCTAGATCTAGCATTTCCCTCATAAACCCCCTTGCACGAATAGTGAACAGCTCCTTGGAGTGGACAACTAGCTCGCCCAGCTAATCCCGATCCCGCTCCCTCTCTTGCAAGGGCCCAGTGTTGTTGCCTCCCTTGAGCGAGCAGCTTGCTCACCTAGACTACCCTGATTATTAGAGCCTAGACTGGTTGCTGCCTCTCTTGCACGAATAGCTTGCTCGCCCAGATTGTCCAGATCGGTGCCTAGACCGGTTGTTGCCTTCCTTGTTCGAGCAGCCTGCTCGTCTAGACTATCTAGTCCGACACCTATCTTCGCTTGCTTGCCCAATGCTTGGGTGGCCATGTTGAGTGGCACCCTCAGTAAAGAGCCTTCCTTGCTTTCCCCAATTTACTCCCCTCCACCTTGCCCATGAACCAGTACACCAGGTGGCACCCATGGCTCCTTGATCTCGATGACCTAGGTCACCGTGCTTGGTGGGGCTTGCATCTCCTTGCCCCTTTGCTCCTCGCCAATGTAGATGCTTGCTTGAGATCTCGCCTTGAAATCAATCAACCTAAGCTCTTCTCCAAGATTGTTGAGCCCTTGCATATCTTCTCCTTCGTTGGACATAGATTTCTAAGAACTCATCTCAGGAGCAAAATCTCTAGCTTTGGGTTTTAAGTATTTCAAAAAAGAGCTCTCATTCTCTCTCTCTCTCAAAATTTTATGGAATAGGTGGAATGAAGAAAGAACTCTATATTTATAGCCTAGGGTTTTTAAATCCTATTATGGAATGGAAAAAAGAGAAAAAAAAACCACTATTTGAAATCAAGGGTTCTTCTAGAATCCTATTATAAAGTGGGGAAGGTCTTGAGAAGTCCTGCAAAGATGGAATATATTAGGAATGAAAAGAGTCTCCAAGGAATCCAAATTCAAGAAGGGTTGATCGTTATTTTGGCTGTAATTTTTGATTCGTTTCCCCAAACTCGGGCCCATAATATATCAATAGATGCTATTAAAAGCCCAAAAAAGACCTAGAAACATATGTTTTAGCCTCCCAAAGTTTTTCCAATTGTGCGTTCAGCCAAAATTCATACTCAACCGAATGCCCTCCTCTCTAAGTTTTGTTGGACACAAGGCATTAGGGGGCAAATGATGGGTCAAGCCCAATGGCCCAATCCACGTTGTGAGCCTAGTTTAAATTAAGAGCCCAACTTAAAGAGATGCAGTAAGTCCAACCCAAAGGAGTCCATGCCCTGTCAAGCTCATTAGGGTTCAAGGAGCTACATCGCCAAGGGAGTAAGCAGAGTCATCCAAGAGTCTAATCCACGTCTCCTTGAAAAGAGTCAACCCCACGTCATCCTTTGACCGAATCTTGTGGAAAGCGTCGTAACTGTCTCACCCGTTGAGAAGAAGGTGCTAGCTCCACCAGATTAGCCATTTAGTTACTAATAAATTGTAGCTCCACTAGATTAGCCAATCTGTTAGGAGATGACTATAAATTGTAAGCTTTGCCAACATTTGGGGGGCATCACACTCAATTGAGCATATATGTAACTCTCTCAGCTTGTATCTCCATTCTCTCACTGCACACCTTGAAGTAATAAAATATCTAGGCAACCCTAGCCCTTCAAAGTGGACGTAGGTCACGTTGACCGAACCACTATAAATTCTTGTCTCGTTTAACTTATCATCTCTCTCTACTTTACTACTACATTTATCATTGTTCATTTGACAGGTGATGTACAAACCCAATTTGTGCATCATCAACTACTACAAGGTATGTGATGGAAGTACTTAAAAGACGTTAAGTCTATAAATTATACATATAGCCAAAATGATAAAAGAAAAATTTAGGTGCAGTGTGGATTTGCTTCTTGGATTTATATATCGGGTAAGACAGAGTTTTCATCGTTCATTTTGTAAAGTATCGTTGTCTGAGAGGCTATTAAGAAAAATGATCTAATAGCTTTGCTTGATAGAAAGCAAATAAAAGTAATTTAGTAGTATACTTTAGGAGGCAACTCTTGTTTGTTTAGATAATGACGTAAAATTGCCTATAGTTGTAGTTCAAAGTATTTTTGATGGTGTTAATCTTGTATTCATTTAGAGGATTTGATGATTCTAACTGTTTTTTTATTGACAATAGCTAATTTGGCAACTTTTGTTTCTTGGCAAATACCATCTTACTACAAGTAATTACAATGCAATGAAAAAAGCTGCACACACAAGATGCTCTTATGCTCATAGGGCAGCCCCTTAGCTGCGCCTTGACATGGAGAATGGTGAAAATGGTATTTGTTTTGATGCTTCCTTTTTTGTTTGATTGACAAGGTATAAATTTTCTCTTCTTTTTAATCACCTATCGAGGGAGTAATTAAATGTCATATTTGTTCAGGTATAATACTAATATCCATCCCATTTTTATTTTTCTATTCATGTCGTGTTATTAGATGGGATATCATATAAGAGAAGTCATTTACTGTGAATCATATTATCATACTTAAAATGTGAAGTTTGTATGACCATAATTTGATTGAAGGCAAAGTTTTCTCTTATTATTATTTTAATGATGTCAATTGTTCATATGATTGGACAGATCTTAATTTTTTGCGCTTGAGAAAGTATAGCTAATAGGTCACTTTTGTGTTTGTAATTTGAGATGGGTTTGGTAGGAGTAATATTTGATGGTCCAAAATATTAATGCTAAGTTTTCTACTATGAAAAATTAAGTTATTAAGTAGTTTTAGCAAAAATTTATGATGGTGATCTAGGGATGAAACTAATAGACTTCTAACTTTCAACTAAGATAATATTTAGAGAACAATCACTTTATTCGATGTAGGGACTCTTAAAGAGTCAAGAAATTGTATATAAAATAAAAAACACATATTTTACTCCAATGTTTTGATATAGGACTATTTATTTTATGAAGGTCTAGATTTTGAAATATTTGATAATAATAAATAATATTTGATAATCAAAATAGACAATGTGCAATGCACGTATTCAATAACTACTTATTCTCAAATTCCTCCATATCATATCTACTTCTCTCTACGTCGTCTGGAATAGATTTTTGAGAAATTTAAATCTTGGCTTCTTCTTATGGTAGATTTTATTCATAGTGGGATATTTTTGTTGATAGATTAATTATTATATCATCTTCTAAATTTGAGTTTGTTTTCATTTCAATTTGAATCTAATCTTATTGAAATTTAAGTTTGTTCTCACGTGCGAGGATGATCAAGTTAATTAATAATAACTTAACCGAGTTTGTACATAGTTAAACTCGGTACATAGAGTTAGATTAACAAATTTAATTAGGATAAACTGTTACTAACTGAAACTAGAAACATACAACTTAAATTACAATAATACTATACTGACCAAATTTAGAGTTCAAAAGACATAGCAGCTGACATGGACTTCTTTATTTGGTGTCATATCATTTGGGCCCCAATAAAAATTCTAAATAATATACTATCATGTCATTTGGGTTATAAATTTAATCTCAAAATTTAATGAGCATAACATTACTATTTAAAATAATTCCACGCGCTTTCTTTTATATTAAAATTCCTGACGTGTCTCCGCATCTTGAAGGCAATGGGTCAGAAAACAACGGAAAAATTAACCTATGTTCAAGATTAGGCTGCTCTGACCAATGGAAACAACAAAGAGCAATGCCAGCAAATATTAGTTACAGACGGTTGACTTGATCGTCACCTAATTGTGCTAATCTTTCCCACCGAAAAATTATTCCCAGAAGTGCTCTATAAAGCCCAAGACCCACCTAAGCAAATTCATATCGTTCTCGGTTTCTCTTTTGCTTATACATTTAAATCCAAGTTAAGAAAGAAGAGAGTTGCTTGCTTTTGAAAAACATGGAACACCAGGATTTAATAGAGAAGCTTTCTAAATCTGTAGACATGGGTACGAGAGAAGAGAGATGGTCCCTTCAGGGAAAGACGGCTCTTGTCACCGGTGGTACAAGAGGCATTGGGTTGGTATCTCTGTATTTTTCTCACATGTAGTCTATTTTTATATTAGATTGATTCTTTGTTCTAACTGGTTTTTTGGGTTTTTTTTTCGTATGAATTTTAGGTGTGCAATAGTGGAGGAACTAGCTGGGTTTGGTGCTGCTGTACACACATGTTCAAGGAATCAAACAGAGCTCAACGAAAAGCTAAAAGAATGGGCATCCAAAGGGTTCAAAGTAACCGGTTCAGTATGCGATTTGTCATCAAAACTATCAAGAGAAGAGCTAATGAAGACTGCCTCTTCTATTTTTGATGGCAAACTCAACATCCTCGTAAGTTATTGCCCCATATTCTAAATAACATTTAGTTGGCCTTTCTATAATTGTAAGCGACATGTTGCCTAGGAAGAATATATCTTACATATTCATTGTTAGATTAGCTTAGTGTAGCCCATTTTTGCTGATGGAGTTTCTAAAACTTGTATCTGGTGTTGTGTGTCTTAGGTAAACAATGCTGCTACAAGCGTGCTGAAACGAGCTATAGACTATACTGCAGAAGATTTCGAACGTTTAATGGAAACCAATGTTGCTTCCCCATACCATCTACGTCAACTCGCACATCCACTCCTAAAAGCATCTGGAAATGGAAGCATTGTATTCATTTCCTCAGTTTCTGGTGTGATGGCCTTGCCTGCTCAGACTGTGTATGGAGCATCTAAAGGTAATCAATATATAAGTTACTCTAAAAATTTGAAAGTTATTCTTTGAAAAGGTTTCAAATTTTAACGACCCTTTTTGTTTTTTCAGCTGCAATCAAACAAATTACGCAAAACTTGGCTTGTGAATGGGCAAAGGACAACATTCGCACAAATACGGTCGCACCATGGGGTGTCAAAACCACCGTTATGAAACCTGTATGATGATTAAGTGTTGTAATCAATATCAATCTTTTGTAACTATAGCCTCTGTTTAGATGAATAAAATCATTTTTTTATTAATCTTTGTCGAATAATCATTTCTTGATTTGAGTATGTCAATTATTCACATCTAAGGTAGTCTTGAAAAAGGGCAATTGAACACTCTTTAAATAATCACCTGAAGTGCTTTGTCAAATGAGGAGTACCCGTTGATCATAGGAGATTTTGGACCAATATTTTTTGGCACACTTGGTAAGACAGCAATAATAACTTGGATTAAGATGATGCTAGAAGAAAGCAAACCAAGACAGCGGCTAGTACCATGCATAGCTAATGATGTAAAGGAATCATCAATCCAGTGTCAGAACAGTGCATCAATGCAAGATTTTTCGCAGAATCTGAAACTGGTATTACATGATCCTAACTTAAGCATTAGGCAAGATTTGATGCATAATATGCATGACCTGTTTAATGGTCACACAGTTATGTCAGGACAATTTAATCAAACGTCGATCCCTATTATTTGAAGTCAAGTGGTAGATGAAGGAAATGTTAACTTAAAGGTGTTTCCTACTAAGAATCAAGGACTACCAATAATGGTCCTTGATTCTTCTAAAGAGACTTGGTTGAAATTTTTCATAATATTTATCATGCTAGATACTCTAGGAGTAGAAATGCATCAAGAATGGCCAAACTATTAAAATTGGATCCATCAGAGGCATTGGGATCGATCCTAGATAATTATGATCGATCATAACTATTAAAATAAAGTTACACTTAGGAGTAGTTTTTAGATTAGTTCAGAATAAGATTAAGTATTGTAATCAATATCAGTCTTTGGTAACCAAAGTCTATCTTTAGGTGAATAAAATCATTTTTTTATTAATCTTTGTTGAATAATCATTTCTTGATTTGAGTATGTCGATTAATCACATCCAAGGAATTCTTAAAAAAGGGCAATTGAACACTCTTCAAAAAATCGCCTAAAGTGCTTTGTCAAATGAGAACTACCCGTTGATCGCAGGAGATTTTGAACCAATAATTTTTGGCATGCCTGATAGGACGTCAATACTAACTTGGATTAAGATGGCACAACGAAGAAAGCAAACCAAGACAGTGGCTAGAACCACTCATAGCTAATGATGCAAAGGAATCGTCAATCCAATGGTCAGAACAGTGCATCAATGCAAGATTTTCCGACAAATCTGAAATAGGTATTGCATGATCCTAATTTTAGCATTAAGCAAAATTTGATGCATAGTATGCATGAACTATTTAATGGTCATACAGTGATGTCAGGACATTTTAATCAAATGTCGATCCCTATGATTTGAAGTCAAGTGGTAGATGAAGAAAATGTTAATGGTGTTTCCTACTGAGAGTCAAGGACCACCAATAATGGTACCCAGCGTAACACTTGGGATCCAACATCAAAATTATTTCAATATTAGGTTCAAAAGGACCCTGTTGAAAATTTTCACAATATTTATCATGCTAGAAACCCTAGGAGTAGAAATGCATCAAGAATGACTCAAGATCCTTCTAAAAGTGGTCGGGAAAGACATGTCATGCCACCTTTAAATCCAATGGAGGACGTGAACCTTGGGCTTGGGGAACAACCTTTGGATCCATTTAGAAATCACGAAAATCAAAATGACATGATTATTAATTAATTGAAACCAATTACTAGAAATAATTCGAAATTTATATGCATCTGGCCTCAGATGGACGAAGGTGCAAATTTTTAGAAAGTCATGCCCTCTATCTGTGATTTTGAGGAATTTTCAAGAGGGTACAAGATCCCCAAGTTTAATTTGTTCTCTGGAGAAGACAATCAATCTATTGTCGAACATATCTGTAGATTTACTTTCTAAAATTTGAAAAAAATAGAAATTTAAAAATGAAACTATTCATGCAATCTTTAATCAAAACTACATTTTCAAGGTTCATAAATTTCCCGCCAATTCAATACAAAAATAACAAGAGATGGAAGAACAATTTCATGCTTAATTATTTAACAATAAACTAGAAGTATCAATGGAAGATTCGTCAAGGTTAAAGCAAAGGTCAAACGATTATGCAAAGCAATACATTGACCGATTTAAGATGGCTAAAAATAAATATCATGTTTACATGCCTCAAGGTGAATAAATATAACAACGCAACCCAATCATGTTTCGTAGTTTTGTAATTGAGGGTGCCTAGGGCTGGATACCGGCGGTGCCCTCGTTGAATTGGTGGTGGTTCATGTGGATTTTGAATCTAAACAAATTAAATGATTTATATATGTTTGTGGTAAAGTGAATTTTACACTCCAAATTATTTTACTAGCTTTAGTTTATCTACATTTCCGACTTTATCTACGAGGAAAAGAATGTGTCAATAAACAACATATTTACAACTATCGAAGGTTAGCTCTCTACTAAGAGTGTTAAAATATGACACGATTCATGAACACGACATGAAATTATAGAATTTGGGTCTTTTTTTAGTCACACACTTCATAAACGAGTGAATTCAACATAACTTGATTAATAAACGAATCAAATATGGGTGAAGTCAATCAAAAAAAATACACAACACGATTTGTTTATTATTGATTATACACAACAAAAATCTGACATTACACGACTTATTTAGACATGAATTAATAAACGAATTAATATGGGTGAAATACTTTTTTGACATAAACCTGCTAAGGTTCAGCACGAATCCGTCTCATCCGACACGATTAATAGGGCTACTATTAACCATCCAAAAAATGTATTTGTTAAGGTGATACTTCTCGGATCGAGAACTGTTGCCAAGGGCAATTGTATAGGCATAGGTCTCCACCAGCCTTAATAATCAAACCCAACAAATTAGTCATAGAATTTATCAATAGAAATCGAACCCATTCTCTTCATTGTGCATACCCCCGTCTTCTTCCCAAAACTGCATCTCACTAGGACTTACAATGGGATCTGGACTCGTTCTGTCGGGTAAACAAAGGCTAGGTGACAATGGTAGATCAAACTTAATAATGATTTACTAAATTAAAATGGAAGAGATTTAATACAAGTAAGACCATTCAAATATAAATGCATGGGTAACTATCCAGGCCGTCAAATGGCTCTGATACCAAAATTAAAGAAGGTAGGAAATCTGATGATTATTCTAGTATTTCAAAAGAGAAAAAGAATTAGCAGAAGAAATAGAGAAAAAATTTAAGTTAAAAGGAATTGATAATTCCACCTCACAAATTAGTAGACTGTGTTACACTCCACAACAGAGTGTTCCACAACCAAGTCCTAGAGATGAAGAAGAAGAAGATGACTTCACTCCACAAACAATTAGCCTTGCCAAGCCCAAATCTTCAATCCTCTGCTATTCAAATTACCAACAGATTACAACCTCTTGGTAATCCTAACCCAACAAGGCCAGTAGCCAAATCAACCACAACCCTAGTACTTTCCTCCAAATGGCCCAGTAGGCCCCAAAACCTATTTCATCGGCTTCGACTAAATTCGGAACATCTAGTCAACTTGTTAACCCATATTCTCACCACCAACCACAGCTAGCCTACAAAGGCTCAAAGGTTGATTACGTCAAAGCCTATACTCAAAACGTATTTGTTATTGAACCAGTTCATGCTCACCTAAGCAACCCAATCTATCTTGTCAATGCATAACTTGAGCCAGGATGAACCATTATTTCATCTGATCCTGAAAAGACATTTCGTTTCTATCAGAATATATTATTCTTTACCTAGTCCATTTTTATCAAACTCATAACCGATAAGAATGACCCCAGTAAAGTTATTTATCACTCTTTAAATATTTTAAAGATTATTTCTCTCAAAGATTGGGGATCTCATCTCTCTTTGCTCCGAGATCTACCTTATCACAATAAACAGTTTAATTACTATAATTATAAGGAACCATGGTTTAAACTAATCCTCTATCAGGATGATTCTTTAAATTACTCCTGATTCATACAGTTACATAAAGATTTCAAGAGCCAGATTCCGTCCTGGTTTGCACAGTGGTGGTTTGTCTATGACCCCATTCATGAAATCTTTCTAGCTGATCTTCAAGATCAGATTATTACCTGCTCCTCTATTTATAAACCTAGTAAACACAAGAGTCAATTTCTTATTTTAGATATAAAGTCCCATGGATATGTAAATGGAAATGAAAAATTATTGGTTTTAACGTTGCCAGGCAGTTCTATGTCAAAAATGGTGGTCCAGGTTCCAGTAAGGACCTATTATTGATCATGTCAAACAGAAGTTCCCAGTCAAGGTTCCAACCCAAGTAGTGGTTCCACTACCCTTAACCCTTGCAACTCCAGCCAAGCAAGTTATGCCCTCTTTGCGAATTTCTACTACAGAAGAGCACAAGAAATCCACTGCAGCAAAGCCCAAACAGAGAAAATCCTCCTCTAAGGATTCCAGCAAATAGTCTAAGAAGAAGACTAAATTAATTGAATTAGCACAACAGCTTCTTCAACAAGCAGCTAATAGTTCATCTCCATCCTCCCAAGGATCTGTTAATGCTTCCCTAATTCTTTCCAAGAAGTTCAAGACCCTTATGCCAGATATGATGATTTGGTAGATATTTCTACCCCATAATAATACTTGTATATATGTGTGATAGCTTTACTCATTACTTTCTTCATTAAAGAAATAAAAGTTGTCTATTACATATATCGATAAAGAATTATTTGGTACAACGGCTCTTTCCCCTAGTAAAGCAGTCATTAACCATTATTCAAATCTGCTTTCCACCAAAAGAAGATTCCTTCAGACAGTAGCAGGACCCACCTTCACCAAAAGTCAGCATTTACTTTGGTAAAAACAATTCACCGCTACTTTCCACCGAAAGATTAAGGTGAAAACACTTTACCAGAGTGTCCTTCAGGAAATCCTTACTTTTATATAAGGACTCCATTTTTCACTATCAAGGGCAAGCTTTTCTCTAACAAAGCTCATTACACACTCTATACACTATCCTTCTTTTCTC